GTGTGTGTGTGTGTGTGTGTGTGTGTGTGTGTGTGTGTGTGTGTGAAGAGCTTATTAGATATAAAATTCTAGCTTCTCAATGTATACTCTAGCACTCAACACTTGTTGTATGGTGTTAAATGGCAAACAAGAATGTCAACTCAAACAAAGTGGAAGAAGGTCGTGGTATAGTCAGGTCAGGGTGATGCTTAAAGGAGACGGATTAAAGGATCCTCTCTGTGGTGTTATGATCTAAAACTGGTTTAGAAAGAAGTATTGATTTTCATGAGTGAAAAGGAGGATAGAAGTCACCTTAGACACAAAGGACAATCTGATCTAAAGACTGAATCTGAGCAGAGACTGGTGTAGCAACATTGAATGTCTGAGCAATTCAGTAGGGTCACATAAAAAAAGACTTAAACAGGTAAGGAGACTGGAAAGAGAAACAAAAAAGCTGGGTGGCTGACACATGGCAGAGGTCATACAGCTATATAGTAATAGCAGTGAAACTGGAACAGAAGGAAAGATGGTGGGAGCATTCCCAAATGGGAATAGGAAGACATTTTGAAGATATGACCAGGATATGGGGAATGAGGGCTACTGATATCAGCACACAGACCCCTTCAAAGTGTAGCCAGCGAGAACTTAAGATGAGGTCATAACTTCCAAGTGATTTTCACACTCCAGACACGAAAACATAGTTAGAATCCCTACTATGTTGACATTTATTTGTGCAATACATGTTGGTATGATATCACTAACAAATACTTTATCACATATGAAAATAAAAATCGCAAAATGATGAGATTAAAAGAAATGCAAATGCATCTGTTTTTTTTTCTCCAAACTCTCCATGTCTTCTCTACCCTATATTTTGGAGACTGCTGGGTACAAAGTAGAACAATTTTTTTTCACATTTTGGCTTTAAGAGGAACTCTTACATCTTTGCATAATATGTTAAGGATATTCATTATATGTAAATTTTTTGTTTGTTTGTTCGTTGCTTGTTTGTAGGCTGGTCTATGGTTTACAGGAGATGAAGATGTAAAAATTCCAGAAAATCCCCTTGAACCATTGCCCTTCAACAGGCAGGAACATCTTATAGAGGTAACCAGTAAGATTTTGTTGTTGTTATTATTGATTTTTGAGATGATTATCATTCTGTAACTCAGCTTCAGTCTACCAAGCAAAGGGCTTACAGGTGGAAACCACCGCACAGATGTTAATCAGATCATTTTTTATGCAGTAGGTGAGCATGTGGCAGTAGTCATTTTCTTCCTGTTCTTCCCCTTGAGTTGAGGAATTTTCCCAATTCTGCTCTTGTTTCTTTGATCCTTAAGTTGTTTCCCCAAAACTGAAGCTTTGATATTCATTCAGAGAACCATTCTTTGTAAGTAATTCTACGGGGTCAAAATTTTCTAATACCTATGTGATTATTGAAAACGTTCCATGGTTTGCTTGGATTTCAGTTGTTTTTGTTTTGTTTTGTTTCTCATCTATCTATATCTATAATAAGCCATTCTTCCAATTTTAAAACTCATAAGCATTCTTCCAATTCTAAAATTGAGGGAAAAGATTCTATCATTTTGCAAGTATTCACTTTATCTACTTTCTTTGGTTATGTTAAACACAATGAGATGTACAAACAATGTTGCCCGTGTCCATAAGTAGCTTGCTATCCTCAGTATGGCATCAATAATAGCATTAAAATCTACTGCAATCTCTGAGGCCACATAGATGCAAAACATCAAAATATGAAGGTCACTCTGAATTCTTTATAAATGACTGAGTGTTTACATAAAAATCAATTCAAGGGCAGCCACATTCAGTAATATAGTGGAAAATCTGAATTATAGATTTAGACATCACACCAAATTCATTAGAATACATTGATGGTTCAGTTTCTAGTTAGTCATAAACTCAAAATTGCAGTACAAAATTGGATATAACTCCTTTCTAACATTTAAGTAAGCAATTCCCTTCAATTGGGCTCAATTTTTAAAATAGTTTTTCATTACTTTTGATATCATAATTATATCATTTTCCCTTCCCTTTCCTCTTTCCAAACACTCCCATACAGCTCTCCTTGATCTCTTTCAAATTCATAGCATTTTTCATCAATTGTTGTTTTATACACACACACACACATATATATATATGTATACATATATATAATACTAAATATAAAATTCTCAGTTTGCATGATATTTTATGTTTTCAGGGATGACTATTTGGTTTTGGACAACCAGTAGTGTACTTTCCTAGGGTAGGCTATTTCTCCCACTCTCAGCATCCCTTAGTTACCTGTTAGCCAACTCTGTTTCTCTTGCCCTAAGCATTTCTGCTGCATGACAACAGAAGAGAAGTTGAAGGAGGAGTCATGTAGTTACCGACAAGGTCCAAGATATGCGCTTGACCATCAGGGTTAATAGTTGTTTGTTGATGCTTTTAATGTGAAACTGGAGGATTGAGATAAATTATCCCATGAACCGTTTCCTTTGTGGGGATAAAGGTACCACTATGTAGACCTAGCTGGTCTGGGTGATTTTGAACTCACAGGTACCTGCCTGCCTCTTCATTCTGAATGCTAGGATTCAAAGCATGTGCCACCACACTTGTCTCTCATACAAAGCCCTGGGAAGGTGGTTTCCACATGACTGTATGAACACATCTCTCAGTGATAGGAGAAGGCTCCTCAGTACTTGGGAGGGATGCTGCTGCTTGACCATCACGTCACATGAAAAATGGTTTTCGTGAAAGCTAGTAGATTTTAGAAATGTCAATCCCAGACAGTGTTCGTGGCTTTTTATTCTGCACTTAGAAACATAGAACATGCCTATGACTTTAGGAACAAAGAAAGGTGTAGCTCTAACATCCTGGTAGAAAGTTCATGGAGGTAAAGAGACTGGAATCAGAAAGAGATATCCGCATGGGCGAAGACGGCTGGCAGCGTAGATGAGTGAAGACATGTACACATGCTGTGTGCTGTCCACAGGACAGAAAAGATGATCTGGGTGCTGTTTTCACACACACACACACACGCTCGTATCCTTGGGTATTCTCAGCACCACCTTTAATATCTCAATGTTCATAAAGTGCAACTGGTCCTAAACTGTGAGGTCCCCACAATATTACTTAGTCTGTATTATGGGCCTATTGTTTGTGCTTATGTAACTTTTTACTCTTTGATAATTTCATTCATATATATACATATATAACTGTAATGAATATTAGCCTTTGCAGCCCGTAACACCTTGTCTCCTTTTCCTCTTTTCTCCCTACTGAAATCCCTTTTCTTTCCAATGAGTCAACTTCTTACCTCCTATTTTGATATCGTTTTTGAATATACAACGCACTGAATTTAAATAGGGTTGTCTACATGAGCATGGGTGGAAAGGTATTTACCGGACCATGGACAATTTGCGTAATTATACCACTGAAGGAACGGACATACTACCCCTGTCACCCTCAACTGATTAACTGTCAATAAGTCCTTCAGAGAGGTGTGGGGACTCATGAGACCTAACACCCCCCTTCCATGGTGACACTCTTGCATAGCTCTTGTGCTGGTAACCACAGAGGCAGTGAGATCAGGAATGTATCCTTGTCATGTCCAGCAGACTCTTGTTCCATAGAAAAATTAGCTCCTCATGAGCTGGTATCTTACCATGTTTAAAGACTTACAAAGCCCGTGTCTAGTTCATTAAGGTATTCAATAAACATTTGTTGAATGGCTGGAGCAACTAATTAGTGTTATTTTGCATCTTGTAGCAATCGTTACGGACTTAGTGAGTGGCCTGACATAATACTCACTTGCTGTCACACGCTTGAGTAAATCTAGCTGTGACTTACCTGGATTCTCCATTCATCATTACCCTGTCTGCCTCTTCACTACCATGGTCAATCTGTTTTCTCTCCAGTTAAAAATTGTGTGTGTGACAGTTCTTCTTTAGGCTGTTTGCCGACTGTGAGAAAGATCCACCCCAGCTTGACTACACTCAGATGTTGCTGTATTTTGCGTGCCATCCGGACACTATGGAAGGGGTCTACCGGGCCCTCAGTGTGGCTGTGGGAACTCACATCTTCCGGCAGGTTGAAACTCCTATGCTGACCGCAGAGAAGGTAACTACATGGCACCAATGTACCTGCTGTGGGTTCTGGGTGGAAGTGAGGACACCAGAAGAATCAACTCATCATAGTAGGACCTCGCTTCATTTCTTCATCATATTTTCCCAGGTCTCCAGCACAATGTTTTACCTGTACCAGGTCTTCCAGTAAACCTTCCTCAACTGCATTAAAATTGGGAAACTCAAATTCCTCCATAGACCTTTGTAGTGAAATGAGCATCTGTTTGAAGTTCCTTGGTGGGGTTGAAGTTTGCTCTAAAAGGAGCAGACTAGACTGCGTTTTGCCAGCAGTGTCGAACATGATAAACAAAAGGAACCACATTATTAACCTGACCCAAGTGTTTTAGAGTATGTGAAAAATGTATCTGAAGCAAACTCTGACTTCAGACATTATCCTCATGATTATGAATTTTGACACCATTTCAGCCTCAAAATCACAGACATTTGCATCATTTTCCTCAGTCAGCACAGAAACTTTCTAGCTAGTTTGGAAGGCATCGTACATTCCCCTATGATTTCTGAGCGACGTGTTTTCCCTGGGATTTTCAGATTGACGGGCCTCCCATCAGTACAAGGTAACATGCTTCCTTGGTGCCCACTTGATCTTTTTCTGACTTTTGGTTGCCCATCTGTTCTCACAGGGGCAGAATTCTGATGGGATTTCTGTGCTCTTGGTGGGCACAGTAGCAGAAGGCTGTTTACAGACCCCTCAGAATTACAACCATGATTATTTTCTTTTAATATATTTGTCAAAGAAAAGGTTAAAGACCCTTACCGACTTTCACCTATGGGAAGAGAAAGGCTCTATTACATTTGAAACCACAGTTTGACAGTAAGAACCAGGCCAGAGTGAGAACAGACAGGTACCCAATAAGATAACAGGGGGATCTCCAAAGGCATATGGAGCTAATGATTCAAGAGCTAATGATTTAACAGTTACATGATAGCAAATACACAAGCAAGGAGTATTGGTCTTTTCTACAGTTGAAAACTTCAGAATTTTCCCACCTAAGTAACTTATGTGGTATGACCATCTGTTCTGAGAATTGTGTTTGTTACTTTCACAGTGGTTTCTCTATGTCCCTGTAAAGATTGTGCTTCCTTTAAACTATACTGACTTTGTAGCTAATCCTGAACTGCAGCCTTCTCTGAGGTCTCAGTGAAATGACTGTCCCGGGGACAGAGAATTTCCCTGATCGCAGATGGTGGCTGCCATTTTCTATCCTACCTGCCCTCTGATATCAATCTTGCTAACATGAGGTGATAATTTCTTTGAAGTCATCTTTCACTTAGACCCAGAGAACGGTATGGGGGCATGTTTGTGGGCAGTGGGCACTTGTCTATGGGGGGAATGCTGATGGGCAGTGGGCACTTGTCTATGGGGAATATTGGTGAGCAGTGAGCATATGTCTATGGGGGGGGATGCTGGTGGACAGTGAGCAGATGTCTATGAGGGATGCTGGTGGGCAGTGAGCCCTTGTCTATGGGGGGTATTGGTGGGCAGAAGTCACTTGTCTTGCTTTCCATCCTCAGACTTAGGGCAAGATCTGGAAAGGTGTTTTCTCTCCTGAATGGCTTCCATCTAATTGCCTTATCCATGCCCTAAGAAATGAAGTAATGATGTACCAAACAGGGCAGTAACTCAAACTAGTGAATATATAAACATAATTTTTAAAAGCTAGAAAGCTATATATATTTTAAATTGAAAAATAGGTGTATAATATATTCTGATATGGTTTTCCCTCTCCCAACTCCTTTGAGATCCTCTCCACTACATCACCTACCCAAATCCACATCCTTTCTTTCTCTCATTAGGATCCAAACACTCATCTGAAGAATTAATAATAATAAAATATAAAATAAAAAACAAACAAGAATAGGACAAAAAAGAAGAAAAAGAACCAAAGAAAAAGCTTAAGAAACATATATAGATGCAGAGATACACAGAAATCACATAAAAACATAAAACTACAAACCAATATATATATATACAAAGCACCTGTTTCTATTTTGTGGAATAATTTAGAAGTATTGGTATTAGTTCTTTGAAAGTTTTGTAGAATTCTTAGCTGAAACCATCTAGTCCTGGGCTTTTTTTGGTTGGGAGAATTTTGATGACTGTTTCTATTTCTTCAGCAGTTATAGGTCTGTTTAATTTGCTTCTCTGGTCTTGATTTAATTTTGGTAAGTGATGTTTATCCAGAAAGTTGTCCATTTCCTTTAAGTTTTCCAATTTTGTGGAGTACAGGTTTTCAAAATATGACCTGATGATTCTCTGTATTTCCTCCATGTCTGTTGTTATGTCCCCCTTTTCACTTCTGATTTTGTTAATTTGGATATTCTCTCTCTGCCTTTTGATTAGTTTGGATAAAGGTTTGTCTATTTTGTTGATTTTCTCGAAGAACCAACTCTTTGTCTCATTGATTCTTTGTATTGTTTTCTTTGTTTCTATTTTGTTGATTTCAGCTCTCAATTTAGTAATTTCCTGCCATCTAGTTCTCCTAGGTGAGTTTGCTTATTTTTGTGCTAACCTTTTCAAATATTCTGTTAATTTACTAGTGTGGGATTTTTCTAGCTTCTTTATTTAGGTGTTTGGTGCTATGAACTTTCCTCTTAACACTGCTTTCATTGTGTTCCATAAATTTGGGTATGCTGTGTGGTCATTTCCATTAAATTTTAGGAAATTTTTAATTTCTCCCTTTATTTCTTCCTTGACCCATTGATGATTCAGGTGAGCATTGTATAATTTCCGTGTGTTTGTGAGTTTTCTGGAATTAGTATTGCTGTTGACTTCTAGTTATAAACCATGGTGATCTGATAAAGTATATTGGGTTAGACCAAAGAATGGATAAGGAAATGTGGTACATTTACACAGTGGAGTACTACAGCAGAAAAAAAATAATGACATCTTGAATTTTGCAGGAAAATGGATGGAGCTAGAAAACATTATTTTGAGTGAGGTAACCCAGACACAGAGAGACAGTTATCATGTACTCATCCATAGGCATAAAGCAAAGAAAACCAGCCCACAAACCACAATCACAGAGAATTTAGACAACAATGAGGACACTAAGAGAGACATACATAGATCTAATCTACATGGGAAGTAGAAAAAGACAAGATCTCCTGAGTAAATTGGGAGCATGGGGACCTTGGCGGAGGGTTGAAGGGGATAGGGGAGAGGCAGGGGGGGAGGCAGAGAAAAATGTAGAGCTCAATAAAAATTAATAAAAAAAGACCTGTAAAGTTTAAGAAAAAATAAAATCCCAGACAATATTATATGGGACTAAAAAGGCCTCCAAAGACACCATTAGGTTCATATTGTGTTGGTCATCTGCTGGTGGGCATGGATGCACCTGGCCTTAAGTGTGTTTTTCTATACACAGTGAGACTCCCTTGGGGAAAGCTAATTTTTCATTTGTTAGCAGTCATCTATTGGAGATGCTTCTGGGTTAGGGATGGGGACTTGCATACACTTCCATTCTCACCTCTGGGATTCCATAGGGCCCACACCTGTGCAGGCTCTGTGGGACCTCAGTCTCAGGAGGCAATTGTGCCTTCTCCCTGTCTCTTTGCCTTTGGTCTTGTCTTTCTCTCTTCTGGGTATGCTTTCATCATACTTCAGTGAACCAGAAGCTTCTCCATTCTCCAAGATCTCAGAAGCCTACTATCAAGGTTTATAAGCAGTCTTCCCCTGATGGTACTAAGGACATTCTTAGTGGGGCAAAATTATACCCTGAACTTCTCAGCAGGATGAGTCCACACAGGATGCAGAAGTATCATTGTTTCCACAAACATTTAGTCAGCAGTTGTGTTTCCTGGGTGCCCCTGTACCCAGGTTATAGCAATGGATAAAGGCATCTGGTAGGATGGTGATAGGTAATAACTAAATAAGCAAAATACAGACCTGTCAGACAGTAGCTTTAAACATAAAGACTAACAAAAACATGGCAGTGCATGTGGGGGGGTACAAGAGTTTGGATAAATACATTCGTCTTTGTGAAGTATTCTTACTATAATAAAAACAAAAACAAAGTCAACCAAACAAGAAAAAATAATATAAAATAAAATTAAAAAAACACCAAGAGCACCTTAGAGAAGTGGTTCATTTCAGCTCACAACTCTCAGTTCATAGTCCTTTACTGAGGAAAGTTAGGATAGAAACTCAGGGCAGGAACCAAAGCAACGGTGATGGAGGAACTCTGATTACTGGCTTGCTCCTCCTAGCTTCCTCAGTACACCCTACAACTCCTAGCATCATCATGCACAATGGGCTAGAACCCTCCCACGTCAATCAACAATAAAAATTTGAAAATTCCCTGTAGATTTTGTGTACAGACGATCTTAATGAGGGATTTCCTCATTCGAGGTTTCCTCTTTCTAGATATATCTACATTTGTGTCAAGTTGACAAAAAAAAAAAACAGCCAAGACACTGAGAGGAGTGGAAGAAGAGAGCCTGACAAGGCCCTGAGATGTGGATACTCAGGAGACAACAACAGTAAATACAAATGTGTTGAGATGAAGCTGGACTTTACAGGTTTAAAAAAAAAAAACAAAACAGCCATACCAACAATGATATTGAATGATATTTGGGTGAGGTGAACATTCAGTTAGATATCTGGGTTTCCATAACAAAGAACTGAGTATGGACACTGAGTCATAGCAGAAAAAATATTATTTATTAAGAAATAGTACACTTTCAAAGAGAGGATAGTGATTATAGAGGAGAGAAAGGTTGAAACTCAACAGTTCGTTGTACAAGAGGTTGGTCTTTTATTTTGCAAGGTGGGCTTTGTGAATGATTTGTGTATTCATGGGCTTTATTCACATGCTCCTGTTATATGGTGCTATGGTCACTGTTCTATTGCTATGAAAAGGCACCATGACCAAGGCATTTTTTTTTTGAAAGAAAACATCTAATTGGGAGCTTTCTTACAGTTTCAGAGGTTTGGTCCTTTAACAGCATGACGGGAAGGATGGTGGCAAGCAGTCAGGTATAGTGCTGCAGATGTAACTGAGTTCTACATCTGGAATTTCAGGCAGCAGGAAAAGACATGACATTGGGCCTGGTTTGGGCTTTTGAAACTTGAAAGCCCATGCTTAGTGGCACACTTCCTCCAACAAGGCCACACCTTCTAATTCTTCTCAACTAGTGCCTCTCCCTGATGATCAATCATTCAACTATATGAACCTGTGAAGGGGGCATTGTTATTCAAACTACCACACATGGAGTTTATTAGGAGTCACAGGTTACCTTTAGATACTCTGAGGCCCCTTCAAACCTGTGCCAGTGTCTCCAGACAGTACCAGCTCTCTTTAGCGGGAGACTTTCCAGCCTTTCTCTTTGCCACAAGGTTCTTCTCATAGGTATTTTATTTCAGCCTTTGTCTCCCCAAATTTCATGGGTTAGCAGAACTGGATAGTAAGGGCTGAGGGGAGAGCCTAGCTCAGCTTTGCCCTTTAAGAGTTGATGTCATTGGAAGAGCACAGTCACCCGTCTTAGATCATCTCGGGGTCCCACTGGCTGCTCTTTTGAGCACAGACTAAAGAAAGAGTAGAAATGAGGTAAGAAAGGAGATGTAGTAATCCATGCAGGGCTTTTCCCATTCATTGACTCTTGTGTCCAGATCATCCCCATTTGGTATCTAATCAAGTCAGTCTTGGTTTCTCCAAAGTAGCTGCACACAGCAAATATTCAGTATTTGTGAATACAGTTAGAAAAGAAGACAGACAGTGCTTAAGAAATGGAATCTCAGCTATAGGAGCAAAGAGACAAGGAGAGGGACAAATAATTCTGCTCAGAGTAAGAAAGACCAAAGAGTGAGAGGCTGTGCCAAAGCCATTACTATAGCAACATGCACCTGCTATGGTGGATGGCACCAAGCCACCTACAATAAATGGCCTGAATTCCTGTTGTCCCTGACTCACTCACTACCTCATGTTGGTGTTCCTACCCAGGAAAGTAGCTTCATCTGAGAGCTGTTCTCAAGAGCTCTCTTGACACACAAGGATATTGTTTAGGAACTAAACTATTATGCAGTAGAAACCAAAGATGACTGTGGAGGTTGCGACATTTCTCTCTTCAGCTGTCAGGGACTGATTGTTCCAGACATGGAATGAACTCTAAGCACTTCAAAAACACGAGAATTGCCCACCCCACTCACTCCCACTCATTCCTGGATAGTGTTTTATCCCAATCATTCCATTCATTCATCCTGTCCATTCCTTTCCAAATGTGTTCTAGCTTCTTGGGCAACCACATCCCAGGAGTCTGCAAAGACCTCACTCAGAAATCAACTCCAATCAACCTCTATGCACCCTTAAGACAGTCTGTCAAATCGCTGTTTTTACCTTCTGCCTATACTATTATGACAACTGGAAGTCCCACCCACACTTTATTCTTCCTTCTGTATCTTTACCGCCATGCTGCTTTTATCCAATGAAACCCAGACCCTCTGAGGAAAGCGATGGCTTCTTAGGTAATTTTTTTAAAAGTTCAGAAGCAAAGCATTTATCAAGAATGTACTAGTTTTGGTGAACTTAATCCTTAAGTGAGGGAAATTTGGGAAAAATGACAAAGAATTCTGGAACCTCTGTGATGTCAGTCTTAGGAAATTGTTAGTTGGCAGCTCCCACATCGTTGTTAACTTGTTAACTGCCCTTGGCAGCATGATTGAGATCCTGGAGTTGGAAGCACGTACACTTCTACTCACTCTTTCACTTGGCTTTCATTCTCAGAACCAACACTTTTTCTGTGTCAGATTAGACCTGAGCCGAGTGAGTAAGAGAAATGCATGGTCAGAAAGTTGTACGGGCATCATTTCAGGGGGATGCTTATCAAAAGGCTCTGAGGTCGGTCTCTGAGAGTCAGAGCAGTAAAACACAGGGCTCAAGGATGCCCCAGTCCTCTGTTTAAACCTCATGGATCTCTCTGATCTGATGCTGCAAGTAAATATTCAAATGCACTGGCTTTTCTTCTCATTACTAACACTGGTTTCTCTCTCTGGTGTCTGTTAGTGTGGATCCCTTTTCCTGAATATGCCTTTTATACTTATGCCTCTAAGAACACAGACTGTTCCTTCCACCCTTTCCTCTCTTACCATTGGGCCATAATGTGTATTCCAAGTCTAAAAGGCAAAATCAACAGGAATTAAAAACAAAAGAAGCCTCTGACATTAGTAAGAGAAGGACTCCTTTTCCTAAAATGTTGGACATTTAAATTATTACGTTTTGGATTAAAGATTATTTATTCCATGATGCATATATTGGATCTTTTAAAAGGCAGTATGTTCTAACTATGCAAATGGTGACGAGGAGGCCAGATTTTCCTAACCTTTAAACTGCCTGCACAACGAATAAGCTAGTATTTTGTTAAATCACAGGTACTGTCTTTACCCTGTTGCCACGGTACCTGTGCTAAATTTTACATAAATGCCCATTTATTAAGCACCCAATTTTATGTCCAATCTATATTCATCTTACTCTAGCAAATGTTTTGCTGACCTAGAAACCTATTGATGAGTAACTGTAAAAGTAATCACAAAGGACCCACAGCAAAGACACTAAGACCTGTTTCCAGATTCAATTTTATGTTTTTAAATCATTAAAAGTGGAAACGAGGTAAAGAAATATATATTTTAACAAGTGTGGGAATATGTATTTAATCACCAAACATTCAACTGTGATAACCTCTTTTTCAAAATTTAATTAAATTTTATATTTACAAAATATATAACCCCCCCCAAAAAGCAAGGTAATCTCTCCAAGCTAAAACAATTGCAACCTCATTTTTTTAGCCCTGATAACAGTCCCTCCAAAATCTCTATGGGGACACATAACTACCTGTGGAGGGCCGGACCACATTCTCCATTGCTTCTAGGAACAAAGGTAGAGATTGACCTCTGTGACCCCAAGGTGTGGCGGCACACGCCTTTAATCTCAGCGCACGTGCTTTGTAACTCTCTACCGCTGCGTCCCTGCCTACTCCCGAGGTTTCACCTGGGACTGGGAGCAGTCAGCCAATCCGGGAATGACACGTCCAGGGCAGGGTCTGTTTCCTTTATAAGGGATGGGTTCCATCTTATCTGGGTCCCCACGGCCGTGTTGGCTTATGCTCTGCTCCCAAGAGACATAAAGCTATTCTGCAGAAGGATCCTAGTGTTCCGTGTGGTTCTTGCTGGCGAGACGGTAGCGCGGGACAACTACCAAAGGCTTAATTTATTGCCCGCATGCTGTTATGTATGGCATGTCACATTTATTTAGAAAGCTCTTAACTAACAATTAATCACCTGAATTGAGTATTTAAAGACATTGGTACTCTTCCCCATTTCTAATGGTAAAGGAAAATCAGAATCCATATATTCTCAGATATCTGATCAACCAAAATTTAAAACTGTATTTCTCTATGCTGAGTAAGTAAATACTGATTTTTTTTTTGTTAGCAAAAGTACTCGTGTGGCTCTATATTTACAAATTTACTGCAGAAATTCCGAAGAATAAGGAAATCACTGTATTTTCCCCATTGTTGATACTGTGATATAATGTGCCCTTTATTTTATTGATAAGTAGTTACATAACTACTATGTTTTCTGTGATTTTTAAAACATATTCTGTGAATGCACTCTTGTTAGATAGGTATCCTTCCAAACCAGAGTTTTTACAACAGAACTGGGTCCTCACAAAACTCTCACTTGTGTCACTACTCCCCCACTTTGGGGATTATAAATCATCTATTTTTACCGAATTAACTTCTATATTCAAAACTCTTTTATCCACAAATATTCAGGATCATTCTTAATCTGTGCCTATAAAATCAAGAGATACAATTACTTTATGACTGTAACATGAGGGCTGGCTTGTTGGGGTTTCTGTCCTGCCTGGTACCCCACAACCGGCAAGTCCCAGAGAAAATCAATCACACAGAGATCTCTATAAGTTATAAAGCTGATTGGCCCATTAGGTCCGGCTACTTATTAGCCCTTATAACTTATGTTACCCCATTATCCTTATCCACATTAGCACATGGCTCAGTACCTTTTCCAGAGGGGCAGCTTACATCTTTCCTCTCCGGTGGTCTGGGCAGAACTGCGGAGGGAGCTTCCTGCTTCCCAGAATACTCCCAGTCTCTTTGCTCCACCTCTACTTCCTGTCTGGCTTTCCCACCTATTCTGCCTGCCTGTCCAATCAGCGTTTTATTAAAATGTGATTGACAGAATACAGACAATTCTCACACACCATATGACTTTCAGTATTTAGGATATTGTTACAGAGACAACATTGTCTTAGCTATACATGAAAATAGAACACCTGAAGTCAGGTCAATTTTGGAAAGCATCAATAATAATCCCAACCTGACTTTGGAAATTAACTTCCCATAACCTCAATTGAAATCAATTTCAAACAGTAATTCTATCATCTATTGATGTTGGGAATCAATTAAACTAATTTATTTCTTTGTACATTTATGAGGAATGTTATGTACCTGGTCATGTAGGGTACTTGGTCATGAGGGTTGGTTAAGATGAAAGGGGCACATTGCACACCGGACCTCTGGATACTATGAGCTAAAGTGGTCTAGGATTTTGACACTGGTTTTGAATGTAACAAGTACATTTTCTTCTACAGTTTGTTTAGTGGGTTTGTGATAAGCACTGGCCTTCCTGTGTACAGTTCTCATGTAATGAATGGGTTGGTAATTTCTATTGCTGGAAGCACTTCAGTCTGGTTTAACATGGTTTGATTTGACAGACCTCCATCTCCACTGTGAGTCCCAACGAGGAGTTTCCCGAGGCCGAGGACGTGACAAGAGAGGAGCGGGAACTGAAAGAGGAGAAAGATGAGAGGGACCAGAAGGAAGAAGAAATCCCCGAAAATGCAAATCCTGAAAAGATTTCCATGGAAACACTACTCAAAGTATTTGGAGGAGGAAGCGAAGTCCTGGACGCTAATAGATTTGCCAGCTACCTGAAGATAGAGAACATCTATGCTGAGGTTAGTTAGATTGTTTGCATGGAATTTTTTCAGGAGCACACTGTATTGTGTGAACCTATGCTGAATTACTTTATTATATGAATCTACTTTAAAATAACTTCAAGATTGCAAAGTAAACTAATTTCACTTTTGTTCTTTTTTTTTTTAAAGAACTTCATAAAAACTTTTCAGGACCTGGGGGCCAAGAACCTGGAGCCAGTTGAAGTTAACATTCTCTTGAAACATCCTTACATTCAGGACCTGATTGCAAATTACTTAGACTATAAAATTCCTGTGAGTATGAGTCAAAATTTTCCTAATTTGGGTGGTCCCAGCTAAGAGCATGCTGTGCATCCCTACCATGAACTATTAAAGAACAACAAGCTGGCCTTGCCCAGAGCAGGCAATCTCTAATGCACAATTGAGGCCATTCTCAGTATTATGCATCTATCTACTTAGTACATGGTGCTACCTTGGGTATATAGCAGAGGGCTGTTGGTGGGTTATAGTTAAAGCCAAGTATATGAACTAATAGAAATATGAATGGTTTTGGCCAAATAATACTTGTCTACAGTAGAAAAGTGTAGAGCGTGTTTCTCAACCTTCCTTATGCTGCATCCTTTAACACAGTTCTTCGTGTTGTGGTGATCCCCCCCAGCCATAAAATCATCTTCATTGCTACTTCATAGTTATAATTTTGCTTCTCTTATGAATTGTAACATAAATATCTGTGTTTTCTGGTGGCCTTTGGAGGGTTACAACCCACAGACTGAGAACCACTGGTGTGGAGACCAGGACTCCTGCTGCCCATAAGGGCTAATTAAGACTGTAGTTTCCAGCCAAGTACGGATATAATCACCATTTTCAAATCATGGCATATATGGTTAATGTGCTAATATTCTCATGTTAGTGTATTAGTTTGTTTCGTATTGCTGATAAGGCATCCTAATCAAAAGCAACTTAGCCAGGAAAGGGTTTATTTGTTTTAGAGATTACAGTCTATCATCAGAAGAAGAAGCCATGGTAGGAACTCAAGGTTCCTACAGAAAAAGTAGAGGAATGCTGCTTACTGGTTTTTTCCATGTGGTTCACTCAGCTTGCCTTTTTATACAACTCAGGATTGCCTGCTCCAGGGTGGTACCAGGTTGTTCTGTACAGAGATTTGATTATTTCTGTGCAAAATGTTTTGGTAAAGATTAGCTGGCATGATGCACGGAAAACATGTAAATTGCTGCTATGAATTTTGTTCAGTATTGAGCGTTATCCTTGAGTTCAGTAGCAGAAGCTCCCATGGGAAGGGTGATGAAATGAGTAACAAACATGACTTCTGCCCACACAAAAATTCCACTTATATTTACAATATAATTTTTAAATGTAAGAATTGTCAAATAGTGACACAATGTAAACAAATCAAGTATGAAATTATAGTTGTTCAAACTGTGACTTGTGTGTACTAGAAGCATAGAAGTAACAGGCTACAAAGAGAGTAGAGACAATTAGGATTTTACAAGGGATAGGGGAAAAAGTCTGCATATCTCTTCCTATTGGCATGGGATGATGTGGGCATCTTAGGTAGAAGGCAGGCTTGGATCAAAGAATAGAAGCAGGACTGGATGGAAGAGGAGTGTCCGACCCCTTGAAAGGCTGTCTGCAAAGGGTAGAGGATGATTCCAATGACTTAGTAAAAATAATTAAAACTAAAAAAATTAAAGCAAATTTTAAATAGAATTTGATGAAACAATTGAGGAATCAATAGGCTTCTTCGTATGGGAGGGTATTACTATTTCTTCATCTCTAAACATTTCCGTATCACCTAAACATATCATGTTACCGTTTCTCTCTTTTTTCAAATAGGGTGAGTTCAATAACTGATTGTTTAAACACCATCTCACCCTGCACAATCTGTTCCACATATAAGGGGAGATGTGCCATCTAATCTACTAAAATAATTACTAAATCTCTTAGAATAATGTATAATAGAATTCATTTTCTATTGCCCAGAGTAAGTAAAAACATAAACTAACAGCCCAATTATTTCCTCCCTTAATTGGAAGAAAACCACATGCAAAATCTGGGCAGATCAATGGCTCTTTTCAGGGCCAGAGATGATTCTGACCAGGTTCCTGCCTGAGAGTAGAAGCCTTGAAATGACCAGCTTTGAGAGTCAACCTCTGAAGAGCTGCAAAATCCCCTGGAAAATCTAGAGGCTACACAATTCTTCTAAATATTTTCTCCCACTTTGAAAAGTGTTTATTTTTTCCTATAAGGTAGTGTCTAGTCATAGTAACACTAAGAGTTCTTTTGAACTGGAGGACAGAAGCTGGATGACTCCCACATTAGAGAGGACTGCAGAGCAAGGAAGATTGATACTGCAGGTTTTGACACCAAAGTAGGACTTTGCGCTTCCTTATGCCAGAGTGTAGTAGGATACCAAATATTCCAAGTCACCACCTACTGTATGTCAGGAAAATTTTGATACCTTGATCACCAAAACTCATTTTGTACAATCCCAACAACTTCTTAGGTATTCAATTCACGCTTTTTCTGAGAACCCATCCTCCTAACCATTGTACAGTTAAACAGGTGCCTAGGGTCAGTATCACTTAACACAGTAGAGAGCTAGTTCATTTCTCCATTAGCTAGTAAGATATTAGCGAGTTAATTCAGTGGTAGGATGCTCCTTTATAAGTCTGAGTCAGATCCTTAAACTTTTCACATCTCCTTCTGTGCCTTATCCCAGTAATCAAAAGACAGAGTGAAAAACTGTGATTCTCACTGGTATGATTTTATAAATAAGAGTTTGTCAATGACCTGGAAAGCCTAAAATAGGTATTTGAGATCAAAAGGAGGTCTTGTCCACTACAGCATTCCATTCTTATTTTTGATAATCAAAACCGAAGGGAAGGAGAGAGGGAAAAAAGGAGGGAGGGAGGGATGGAGGGAAAAAGCAGAAAGAAGTAAATATTGCAGACATGGGGGGGCTCTCATACCTGTGATGTTAGTGTTTGCTCCAGATATCCATGTTCAAGTAAATAGATCACATTTTTAAATGAACCTTAACCACAGTGATGTTATTTAAAGATCGTTCGAGATAAGAAGAGCAAAACCTAGAGTGTGGTTTTTCAAGGTTAAAAAGTTGTTTGCTATTATAAACAGTGGGAAGCTGGAGGCTGTTGCTTAACAGCTCTGTGTTTACAAGGTCTGTGTTTACACGCTACAACATTAAAATATATGTGTACATACATATATATTAAAAATATATTTTTTTAAAAAGTGGATTATATGTAATGAGCAAAACACCTTAGTTTTGCCCCTGTTTTAAGGTGCCCTGGTTCTGTGCTTATGAGTATGAATTATAGGATCTTGGAAATACGTGGTTCGGGGCATGTAATCTCACAGTATCCTGTGTTCCGCAACTGTAACATTGAGATAACTACCAGCCTTTCCTCATGGGGCTCGTGTATGGATGGAAGAAGTTGACACACACAAAGTGCTGAGCTCAGTTCCTGGCAGATGAATGTAGATACCACTACTGATACTGATACAAGATATGGAAGTATCAGGACCCAAGAAATCTTGCAGTTGAAATGAAACATGAAAAGTGATAGGTAGATGGACAGACAGGTGGCTCTCTGTCAAAAAACAAAGTTTTCCCTGGAAAAGATCCAGGGCTTAACTGAAGTCCCAGTGGTAAACACAACTGTAACTTCCAGATTTTGGTGCTGGATTTTACAGATTTTCAGTTTACATCATGTATTTACTTCTACTCCTCTAGACTTCATACAAAGAAAATATGTTCAAAAGTGTTCTTAAATTATTAAGAAAAATGTGTTGGGTAAATGTTACCAAATTAGTGAGAATACCATAACTCCATTGCTGTGGAGCAATTTTTTGTTACAAAAACATTGACAAACAGAACTCAATAAATTATTTTTCTATAAGAGCAACTTAACCCAAACCATTTCTTATAGTGAGCACATGCCAAACAATTGAGGTTTGGGTGGAAATCTCCCAAACAAAGCACGTCTCCAATGGGAAATAGAAACAATTCTTTCAGTGTTAAAATCAAAGCATGACAAAGAGAGTGTCTACAAACACAGACCCAACTTTGTGCAACTGTAATCATAATTGGAAAGTTATTTTCGTCCCACTCTGTCCCCAAGACATCTGATTTGGAAATACTCTCCAACCTTACTTTTATCTTTTTTACAACATCTGACATCTGCTTCTATACTTCGTTTGCAGAACGTCTGTCTGTGCCCAGCATCTGACACCATCGGTCCCCTCTCCAGTCACTGCCACTGATGGCTGTGGCACCCTCTTTCATCCTGGATTTAGCCAGTGTTGGTTGGCATGTATCTGGAGCACATCATGTCATTTTGCCCATGCTGTGAAATGTCAATCTCTAAACTCATGCCTGGCCAACCAATAAGTGCCTGTCCTCTATAATTGCCCCAAGTGGGACCTAGAAGTCAATGGGAGCTGCTGATCTTTTCCTCTTAGCTTACTCAAGGTTGGCCTCTGCCTGTAAGGAAATCAGTGTTTTGAAGGAATGAGATCCCTCAAGGGAATGGTTCAGTGTGCTTCCTGTCAGTGACTGACAGAGTGACAGATATGGAAGCCAAGTTAGAGAGTGAAACAGCCTGTGTCTTCATAGTTAAGATGACCACAGGCTGAAAGCTCTGGAACTCAGCTCTGGAATAAAGAAACTTAGATTCTTAAATTACTTTCTTAAATTGTGATAAGAAATAAAGTTAAACTGCCATCACTATGCAATTTTTGTGTTTAAGACATATGCTAATATTCATTCTACATGTATCAGTTTACATTTATTTTGAAAAAAAATTGTGTTTTTATAAAATTTAGACATTAAATTGCTAGAATATTGATACCTCTGATAGTAAGAAGAAAATGAAGAAATAGAAAAGTCCAAGGAAAAAAATCTACTGCTCAAATTTTCTATGTTTAAATTTCTATGTAGATGTAATTATTTTGGCATTATAATATTTCTTTAATAAAGTATGAATACTGTATTATTCATTAATAGGAAAATAATCTTTTGGTTTACACACTATATGATAGAGTTGAGTAATCACTTTTATAAATATTACTTAACATGATAACTCCATTATAGGACTATAAAGAAGAATTTCTGAAACCCTTAGATATCATTCCAGGGATACCACTACATGGTTTCAGAATAGCATTTACACTAAATGGTGAAGATTTTTCTCAAGGAAACAAAAAAAAGAGTAAATGACAAGCAACTATCTGTTTAGTCACTGCCAATACAAGATGTCCATCAGTCATAAATTCTTTATTTTCATTTGTAACGTCTCTTTGATTTTTCTCTCTTAGGATATTAAAATGATTCTTCAAAGGAGTGAACATGCCCAAGGCAGTGATGGAGAAAGTTCACCTTCAAGACTTACAGAGGAAAAGAAATGAAGGCTATGTTTTTTATAATGTAAAATAAAGCTTCATACTCAAATTGACCATGGTGTCTGTCCTGTGTGTTATTATTGCAGCTGTAGGATTGATTCCTTCTCAGCTGAGAACGATCCTTTCCCAAATCAGAGAACATTTTAATCTTAACCCTCAAAAAAGAGATGAAAATATAAAAGGTATAAAGATGAAATTTAAGTGATTCTGGAAATAGAAATTACCAGAAACAACACACTCAAAATAAATGCACTCATGAGTCATGAAGACTCCCTATAGGAAAGTCTATATAGAAAATCCTTCCAAAACTCTATATCAGAGCAGAGCTTTTCTTCATTTTCCAAACCTTGTTTGATATATTATAAAACTAAAATGTTCATTCCAGTAGCCAAAAAAAAAGATTCATCATTGAGCTGCTAAACCAGTCACAGTTTTAAGTATTTGTGCTAATTTCTCCTAAAATACAAAATTCCCTTCATAGACAGCTGTTTACATGATTAACCAGAAATCAAATTTAGTGGTAGTCATCTCAAGAAAATGTCCTAGAAATGAGTAGTCCTGTTCTTGAGTGGCTAGCTTAATATGATGCCCTCCCTGGCTCCCTCGATTGGTTATTCTCTCTGAGGATCTCTGAGGATCTCTTGGTGGGTCCTCCTCCTCTTGTTTCCATATGTATGGGAGAGTTAACATGAATAAGTTATCTATTCACAGCCAAACTTCTGATAAGTCTTCCACTTCTATGAAATTACAGGTATGGCTCAAGCTAAAGTTCTCACCTGGCTCTGTGTCCACTGACTTCCAGGACCCACCTTTTCCTCTTTAATATAATCACACCTCACCACAGCTGTCGAGGCAAACATGCAAAGGAGATCATTATCTTTTCCAAATCATAGGTTAAAGGGAGGTGTCCTCTCTAACTGCTTGCCATAATTGTTTCTAGGTCATTTACTTTGACACAACATTGACCTCGTCAGAATACATTGCCCTCTTTCCCTATGGCTGAAGTCTTCCCTCCATCAAACTCATTCCAGCGTCATCACTCTCCTCAGCACCATCCATGTTTCTCAGCTATATTTCTTATTGGCACTTGACAATCACAGTAAAGCACAAATGACCCCATTCCCATCTAGTCTTCCTGATGCTCAGTTCTTGTTTACATTCCTTCAGTAATGTTCTCATTGCATTACCACATGTTCTGATTCATTTTTGAAAAATTTTCTAAACTGTTAGAAAATAATTTTTGTTTGTTTGCTTGCTTTATTTTTCTCCTTCCTTCCTTTCTTCCTTCCTTCCTTCTTTCCTTCCTTCATTCCTTTCTTCTTTCCTTCCTTCCTTTCTTTTTTTTTTTACAATCAGAAAACAAAAGCAAAGAGGAGACTGGAAGGCCTCAGGCACCTGCTCTGAGCTATGGAGCTATGCTGTGTGGGGTCAAGACTTATTTTCCCTGTTTTACAAATAAGGATACCAAATGGCATACAAGTTAAATGGCAGAGAAGTGATTCAAAAACAATTTCTCAGTCAAACTTATGCAATGTTGTCTTTGTTTTGTCTGCATCCTTTGGTTACTTCTCAGTATACAAACAAGCTTAAGATTCAAGTACATTGGGAAAATTCTTCACTCTACTCTTCTTATCCTTATAGTATTTCTTTCTCTATCCTTTCTCCTTGTACTTCCAGATTGCTTTTAGACTATGGTATATATAACCTCATTTCTCTTACTTTATGACACTAGGTTTTATTATAAAAATGTTCAACTATGACAATGTTTTGTGCATTCAAAATCATTATATAATATTGCCTCTTTAGTATCAGGATATGGGAAACTATATTGTATTAATTTTGTGTGATGAAGTAGGTTTACATTATAGAAATGTATTACATTTTGTATGGCATTAGATTTGAGTCCCTAACATTTTATTGATTTTTTTTTTAAATCTACATTTCAAACAGATGTTGGTCTGATGTGGGATTCCCCTCTGTGTGCCGTGAATACCATTGGTTAATAAAGAAGCTGTTTTGGGCCTGTAATAGGGTAGGGCAGAGCTAGGCGGGGAAAACTACACTGAAAGCTGGAAGAAAGGAGGTGGAGTCAGGGAGAAGCCATGGAGCCACTGCCAGAGACAGACATGGTGGAACCTTACCGGTAGGCCACGAGCATCATGGTAAAATATAAAATAGTGGAAATGGGTTAATACTAGATGTAAGAGCTAGCTAGCAATACATTTAAGTGATTGGCCAAGGAGTGATTTAAATAACATAGTTTCTGTGTGATTATTTTGGGAGTCTGGACGGTCAGGAAAACAAACAAGTGGCTTTCTACTACATTGGTCTGCAGTTTCATTGTCCTAAAATATTCAGTTCTCATATCAGATTAATTATAGCTTGTGTCATAAGTTGCCATGTAGTTCCTCTTTTATGAAAAAACCTTTTAGACTTAGATTTTCTTCCTTAGACATTCTCTGTAACTTCTATTAAATCTTCTGATCTAATGTTATCTTCATTGAAAAAGTTTTACTTGCAATTAATTTAGTAGCTATGAGATCATTCAGTTTATCGTTTTCTACACTAATGTCTTTCAAGGATTAGTTTAATTGTATCTTAGATTTTAGATTAATTTTAAAAGCATTTTCTAACAATTCCCTTTGTTTGTGTGTACTCAGGAGCATGTGTGTGGAGAGGAGAACTTTAGTGTTGTTTCTCAGGAGTGGTCTTCCTTGTTCACCTAGACAGGGTCTCCCGCTGGCGTGGAACTTGTCAATCAGGATCAATCCTGATTAAACCAGGGATCTCAAGTGAACTCCAGGGATCTGTCCTTTGTCACTCAGGGATTACATGCATGCCCCAGAGCAGGCAGGGAGAAGAGATGTTTTAACATTTCTGGGGATGGTCTTCAGGTCTTCACTTTAGCAGAGCAATCACTGAACCAAGGGAGCTGTTTTCCCAGCCCCACCTCTATGTTTAGTATTCACAGTTTCTACATTGGTGATTCTATTTTTTATTCTTTATGCTTGTCAATCATGTTTACGTTTTCTGGCTAAAAAGTTGCCAATTATTTCAAAGAAACAACTTTTTTCGTTACTTGAGTTTTCCATTATTTCTTTGGTTTGCACTTGAATTTTAACCATTAATGTGGGTAGCCTTCTTGTGACATCAATGAATAGAAAATAAATCTGTGGACATGTTTTGCTCGTTCGTACTGTAATCACTCCCTTGTTCTTAAGATCATCTTGTTTTGTTCCATGACAATGATCCCTACTTTTACTTCTCTCATTATTATTTATCTAATTCAGTTATGTTTCCTTCGTCTTATACCATAGATAAGTCATTTTTTTGGTTATTATAACCACATATTTATCTTTAACTCTGATCTACATGTAAATGAAGCAAATAACTTTTTTTTCATTTCTGACTTCCATAGCCCTCAGTAATTCATACTCAATCGCCTGCCAACTTTAAGGTCACAGTGCTCCTTAGTTATACAGAACTCCAGACCTGAAGCTGTGCTACTGCCCGTCTTTTCCTAGATATGGGGTATTTGGACGTTAATCAGGCAAAATCATTCATGATATCTCATTCCCCAAGACAATCGTGAATGTAGGAAAATACAAAATGAAAAGAATTTGCAAATACCAGAGTAAATATAGCAAAGATGTAATGTTCTTCTCATGACTTAAGCATTAGTTGCTATCTTTGTGCACTGTAGCTCTGTGGACACTAATGAGATAATGTTCGTGTATGTCTTACTCACATTATGATCCAGCTCCTCAATGAGACATTCAGAGAGGCATCACATCCACATACATTGTAATTATTGTTGCCACTATGTTAGAAGAGATTTTAAGTAAATCATGTTTAATAAGAGAAAAGGACCCAGTGATTTCCTGAAAAGTCAAGTTATACCAAACATGAAATATTGAAAATATACAATAATAACCAATATTAGCTAAGACTACTGGTGTTTAGTTATGAGCCATAAGTGGATTAAGAGCTCTTTTCTCGTTAATTTGTGATGCAGGAATTCATTAGATTGCTAGTGGCAAACAATGTAGATGTGTGTGGAGTAGATTATGTAACCTTCCCGAATTGCAGAGCTGTGAATAATATATGTACACTAGAAGCCAATTTCTCAACCCCAAAGCCACCCACTCACATTGTTTTCTATGCTTGTGTATAAAACACTAACTTCACAAGCACAGGAGAGAGGAAGTATGGCTTAGAAGTGTTTAAAAATAAAAGTGGTTTTTATTCAGAACTAAACTGAACCCACTATGCTCTGCGTTATGACCCTTCAGGAAACCAATATCCTCAGAATATTAGTGACAATGTGAGAGACAGAATATGTAATAAGCTAATTTTTCCGTGATCTACTGCAGCAAGAGCTCAATTGCAAATGTCAAAACAGTTCATTTATATATTTCCATGCTAGTTACACAGATAAATGAAATGTATATAACTATAGGTTATTATATGTAAGTCACATGTGTTACATGCATGTGTTTTGTATATATATACCATATTATACTTCTTATTTTATATCATGTATGCTTATAGACATTATATTATAACTATATATTTTTATACTTACATGCTGTCTATACAAAAGTAACCACAGTATATTTGTAAAGATACTCAAAAGTCCTTAGCTTTGAGAAGAGAAACCAGATTTAGAGATAACGTAAACAATAATCAAGTAGCAGCGGTCAGATTAGATGAGAATGAGGTTATGAGGGTCACACTGGGATTGCCGACTGTCAACAAGACATAAAGGTATAAGCCATTCACATCTGTTCAGATGTAGCAGCTTTTCCCTAAGGATAAGCCACCCTCCCTGATAGTCGTGTGCAATACAGCACAATGGGGTTCAGCATGAGCTTCCTCTTGCCAGATGCATAGATGCCCTCTGCTTTGGCAGGGTATCAGGTGTCAGGGATGCTTGTGAGGACAGAAACCCAGTACTCCATTGCCTTTCTTCTAACATTCCATTACCTCATAGCCATTACCTCAACTCTCTCCTTAGTTACTCCCTCCACAGTAGGCCATTTTGACTCAGAAC